TACGAAGAAAAGATGACCTCCATAATTCTCTGTCAGTGCATCATCAGCTGTATAACTGCACTCAAAATTGCATACATTTTATGTTAATGGTTGTTAAAAAAAAATGATTGGTTATAATATTCAACTGGCATTACATGAATAGTGGCCTCTTTTCTTTAGTTTAAGACAATGCACACCTTGATGTTTACCGTCCCAAAAAATCTACAGAATACAGAAGTATCGGTTAGCCCTCCCTTTGTGTAAATAAAAAGGTGCTGCAATTCAAAGCCACAGGAAGAGAAAACGTGCCATGTACTCACAGATACACACACACACATTCATGAGAAACCACACAGACATAGTGCTCAACAGAAAAGCTATGAATATTTTATGATGTTGCAGTCTTCAAAGTATGACTGCTGGCTCCCTCTCTGATGCTCTGAACATCAGACAACACTCAAAGGATGCCCGGGACAGATATATGCAAACAGAGAAAAAGGCAGATAAATCTAAGGCGAGCAGAGAGAGGGAGAAATAACATGGGATGGATACTGAAAGAGAGACAGAGGCAAGTGTTGTAGGTGCTAACGCTTTGTGTGAAAGATGAGTCTGCCACCAGCAGCTTCCAGCCTGATGAATTAGACAGCAAGTTCTGCTGCAACATTTCTCCATCTGTGAAACTCTTCTCTCTCTCTCTCTCTCTCACACTCCGGCCGTTAGGGTGATTTGCCACATCATTACTAATTGATAATCACGTTGGAGAGAAGCCATCAAAGGCGTACTACTGAACACTGCGGTGTCTGCGCTGACATTTCCTGGCTGGAGTAATGACTAGGTGACATTAGTGAGAGACCTTGCAGGGCAGACAGTGCGAACGGGCAGCCGAGGGGAAAATTGAAGAGATGGTTGGCCCATCCATTTTTCCCTCCTTAACCCAGTGAAGAGAAAATGTGTATGAAAGATCAGTCCGACTAGCTATTTCTACAGGTCCATATTGGTCCAGGTCTTCCTGATGCAGAAATGACAGTGTGTGATAATATATGGATATATAGGGGAGGCCGGGGATAATTAAGTTGTAAGTCACGGTGTACAAATATAAAGGATTTACAGAAGAAATAAAAACCATTTGGAGGTAGAAATAATAAAAAATTCTAATTTGCGATCAGGTTGATGTTAAATGACAGAACTGGTATCATCTGAATCAGCAGATTCTCGTTTAATCTCGTTTTAACTTTCACCTATACTACCAGAATTTTTTTAATGTTTTTGAAAGTAGTCTCTTATGCTCAGCAAGACTGTGTTTATTTGATCAAAAATACAGTAAAAACAGTAATACTGTGAAATATGAAAATTTAAAATAACTGTTCTCTATTTGAATATATCTTAAAATGTCATTTATTCCTGTGGTGGCAATTTTCAGCAGTCATTACTCCATTCTTAATTCACATTATCCTTCAGAAATTGTTCTAATTATGTTGAGCTGGTGTTCAAGAAGAAATGCGTTCTTATAATGAATGCAGAAAACAGTTGTGCTGCTTTATTTATTTTTTTTAAGTTAAAAAGAACAACCCCTTGTATTATTCAATTTTCCCAATTTCTTTGCTTTTTTATTTTGTTTTTAATATGTTTATCCATTAAAATGAAATGGGTTGAAAAAAATGTGGGGACAAATTATATCAAAGTTCACTTACAGTTAAAGTAAAAAGTGTAACAAAAACAGTGATCTTTCCCCCACTTTAAAGTGTTACCTAAAACTTTGAACTTGCATGTGAAAGAGGATGTTTGACAAAATCTTAATATAATTCATAAATCTATTGTGATCTTGGGAAATGTAGATAACTTCTATCCTCAAGTGAAGTAAAAATCTCCAGTTTATTTTCTCATTCAGCACTCAGCCTAATTGTTTTCCATTTGAATCTTGTGCTGACAGAGTAATAGTCACTATGAGCCTGGCCAAGTCTCCAGTGTCTCTTCCATTAACAAGGATGCTCTGAATTCACCATCTATCACTCTAAGTTGGGGATAACCTTCAGTCCAAACAAACTAAACCCAACCTCAGCTCAGTCTCACAGCGCCTATCTCTGTGAAGCTTTGATCTGCATTCCTTTATCTCTAATGAGATGAAACATCCCATTTTACTTGACATTTCTGCTAGGCAATGAAACCGCTGGCCCGGACTCTTTCCTGCTCACCTGAGAGAAAATTTTATTTTTAATTGTTATTGACATAATGTGAGCCATGTGACAATGGGAGAGCACACTCTTCATTCCGCAGAAATTAATAGCCTGTATCAAAGCCTCCGGACGCACAAACCTATTGCTTTTATTCTCTTGGAGCCCAGGCTGGAGAAGAGGCAAGGGAAGTAAAAAACACATTGAGAAGTTTTATTGTTTTATGTGAGTGGTTTCATTAATCTATCGAGGAAGTGAGCCCCACGGTACCAGCTACCCCTCTGAGCTGGGAACAGCCTTCAATAAGAAAAACTAAGTGAAATATTACATGAGCAACAGAGGTCACTCTTGTGACCTCACAGTTTGCCATTGATCTCTCATTCTTTGAGTAACAAAGAGGTCCCACTCAAAAGTCACACTACTCTGAATTCCTTCTTCAAGAGAAATGCAGTTATTTTTGAAGACATCACAGCATCAAAGGAAAAGGAGCTGAGATTTGTGACATTTCGGTTCTGCATGATAGACAAGTCTTAACAAAATCAAAATGAAATATTAAAAAAATCCATAATACTAAATACTAGTTTACAGGATTTTCAAAAAAAAAAAAAAACATTACGTTTGATGATTTTTTTTTTTTAACTTTTCATTCTAATTGTTATGCTGATAACATAATTTGTAATGAAATTTAATAGGAAAATTTAATAGGAAATATGTAAAATAGATGCATTTTGATGAATGATCTCAGACTTTTGAACCCTACTGTACATAGTTCTGGGGTGGGTTGTTTCAATGAAATATAACAAGTCAGTAAAGTGAAACAAATATGGAATAATATTATGGACAATATTCAAAAGGAATTGCAAATTGAATTTGCAGTTGTTTGAGGATGTATACGTTGAGACAAAATCCAAACGCAATTGCAAATCACGCATTTGTGTTTCCATTTTCTTTTCCGTGTATGTAACATGTCTGCCAAATTTTACATTGAAACGCAAAGTCCAATTGCAATTGTATTTCCAGTGTCTTACGAGTAATGACCCTGTCATTTTGGAATAGCAATTTAAAATCACCCATTTGCTATTTCTCTTTGATATAGTTGGAAAGTATGCCACGCTGCCACTGCTGGTGGGAAATGATGCACCATTTTCATTGTGGAAAATGAGGACATTCATGAGGAAAATGGGGACAAATATTCAATAAATGTGTCTATTTTTGCAACAAAAATGAGTAAAACTGCTGTGTACCTTTTTTTCACTTCAAACAAAGCCAAAAACCTGGAACTAAATATTTATCACTTGCAAACAAACAAAAGAAACCAAAAGAAGACGGCTCTGGTTGCCAACAAACATCATGAAGAAATGAAGATACATCTATGGAACCTCACATCTGCACACCGGAAGAGAAGCACAGCGCCGTACCACGTCTTTAAAATTCAAACAAACTGTTTTCTATGAGTGTACGCACACCGGCCACAGAAAACCACTCACTAGTTTTCCATTAAATCACATTATATTTGTCCCTAATTATTATTAATGTACATTTTGACTTCATCCTAGGCTGGAAAATCATGTATTGTGCATTTTTCAGCAAAACGTTTATCTGTGGCTTGAATAAAGTCTGTATGCTTCATATAAAGAGCTATGGATCACGCTTGCTCTTTCCATTTGCTCCGTTTTGTCATACACCAAACTTCAAACTCATCGACACCACTTTGTTCATTCTTAAAGTGAACTTTTGCCTGTTTGTTGATTAGATTAACCGTTTGAACTGCCGTCTTGAACTGAAGGCAACGGTTCCGGTGTGCGATACCTGTGAGTTGTCCATGGCACTGCACTTCTCTGTATGCGACTGAAAATTATGTCTGCTATTTTATTACATCAAAAAGATACAAAGACAATTTATAATAAAAAATAAATAAATAATGTTGAATAAAATGCTGAAATGAAGCAGAATTCAGAGCATCCTCCTACGAATTGAACATGAGTTGTGATAGAATGTCACTACCAATGTAATTTTCTTTTTTCTGTTTCGTTTATTTATTTATTCTTTTGATCGCTTAGATTGTGAGTACATGACAAACACACCACTCACATCATGTCAAGTTTCTACAGATTCTCTGATTTTAATTCATCAAGATAATTCACTGTGTCAGCTGGAAAAGTGATGATATTCATTCAATACATTCTTGAATCCAGTCCAATGTTTCCCAAGCACACCAGTATTTGACTCTACCACTATGCATCCAGTATATGACCCACTGCCGACTGCAGTAATTTCTGTTTGCTTCTTTTTTTCTAGCTGACAGGTGAACATAAAATCAGTTCTGGATTCTTGACTTGTTTGAAGTGTTAGGCATTGGAAATGCAAGTGCAAAGGGGATTGCGAATCCATTTGAATTTTGTGAGGGTTGGAGCAGGACGCGGAGAAATAGCAAATGCACGATTTGCAATTACGTTTAAATAATGTCACAATGTCTGTGTCCACCAATTGAAAATGCAATTGCAAATACATTCACAAAGTTTTGTCAAAAACGTTTTTTTTTTACAAATATATTTGCATGTATTCATTCCATTTCTCCATAAACCTCAATTACCATATAACGGCATCACACCTAGTCATTTCAAGCCTAATTATATGACATAATATGTAATGTTGCATAACCAATTTATTGCTAGGCAACTGCACTGGCCATTATAATCAACATTCTCATTTCCATCAAAGACCTGCAGGACAGTAAGGCAATACAAAACTTTTATCATTCAGTTCAGTGCCTCATCATCTAATGAACTAACAGCAAAATAATCATGCAGCCATAAACAGCCATTAAGAAAGAGTTAAAGAGCTCTGTACCTTTCATCTCTCCCATGTCTAAAGTCTTCCCTAATTGTTCCAGAAGTTCTGCACGTGCTGCGTTCTTCTTGTGCTTTTTTCCATCGTAGTGTTGCTGTGCCATTCCAGGATTGTTGAACCAAGCATTGCACAGCTGACAGTAGCGATCAGAATCCCGGTGCTGACGGATTGAGCTCAAAGGTGAGGTTTCTGAGGAGGGTGTATTCACTGGACTAGGTGGCACCTCTGAAGAAAGCAGAACACGAGTTACATTGGATTATTGATTTAATTCATTATTTTATATTTAATATATCCAAGACTTTGGATTTGAGCGCAATAGCAAAACATGCTGGGGAGGTATATTTGGTAAGTCTGCAGAAGTTTGGAAACCAGGGACAACATGGTAAATTCTGTATATAGAACTTTAGGCAATGGCCAAGATTCTGTCCTCTCTAGGACACACCCCTAAATACGTGGGTTGAGATTTACAGGAGACTTTTTTTCTCCACATTTCCATCACACTCTCTGTACGTTTGTTAGAATCAAGGATCAAAGGATTTGCCTATATTTTGCCAATGTTGGAGAAGATGAGAAAATGTATTTCTTACTGGCCATAAAACTGTATTTTGTATATAAAAAAAATAATAAATATACATTGCCAGTTGGTGGACAGTTTTATTAGAAATGGCAATATCGCATGCTTTAAAACTGATAGTCCGCCCCTTGTGATGTAAGCTATTCAAATCAAAACAGTACAAACTGTAAAACCTTAGTCCCAACCCTCACCTGTTCAAACAACTTTTATCTAAGATATTTAAAGGCATTTTTCTCCAGAAATCCATGTTGTGGCAAACATATAGAATATTTTTCATGTTAAGCCTCTGAAACAGTAATAAGATGGACAAAATCACATTTTTTTTTTCTTTGTTTTTGTGGCATGTGCATTTCACTGAGAAATGGAGACGGTAATGCTGCAAGTGACATTTCCTGTGATGTTTGTTACAATGTGAATGGAAAATATAAATAACATTTTTAATAATTTAATTAAAATATAATAACCATATCTACACTGTATATTTTTTTCAGGAATCATGATGAATGGAATGTTCAAAAGAACAGCATTTAATTTAATGCATACTTTTGAATGGTAGTGTATATATATATACACTACCATTCAAAAGTATGCATTAAATTAAATGCTGTTCTTTTGAACATTCCATTCATCATGATTCCTGAAAAAAATATACAGTGTAGATATGGTTATTATATTTTAATTAAATTATTAAAAATGTTATTTATATTTTCCATTCACATTGTAACAAACATCACAGGAAATGTCACTTGCAGCATTACCGTCTCCATTTCTCAGTGAAATGCACATGCCACAAAAACAAAGAAAAAAAAAATGTGATTTTGTCCATCTTATTACTGTTTCAGAGGCTTAACATGAAAAATATTCTATATGTTTGCCACAACATGGATTTCTGGAGAAAAATGCCTTTAAATATCTTAGATAAAAGTTGTTTGAACAGGTGAGGGTTGGGACTAAGGTTTTACAGTTTGTACTGTTTTGATTTGAATAGCTTACATCACAAGGGGCGGACTATCAGTTTTAAAGCATGCGATATTGCCATTTCTAATAAAACTGTCCACCAACTGGCAATGAACTTTGTTTTATTCATTTGCCAAAGTCAAGTTTTACTCTCATTTGGGGCTTTCAGAGAGTGAATTTGGACCGGTTTGCAATCCAGATAGCTTGAGGATTTTTGGATTTTATTAAAAGTACAAGCTCAGACAACAAAAGAGAAACTCACATAAATTATTCCCAGCTATGTGATGACATTTTATTGCTTGGATAACCCAGTGAATCAAAGAAAAATATGTGTCTTAATCTTGTTCACTGCAGTGATTCTGGTTGGAAATTATTTCTGATCTTGACAGCAACAACCCAATCACTTGGATTTTATTTATCCTTCCGTTTAGATGTGTCCTCTGCTTTATAACTAACAAGCTGTTGTCACTGACTTTATCAGGAAAGTATGCTTATGCATTTTCATGCATGGATGGTGGCATCACCTCAGAGCAGAAAGAATAAACACACCAGAGAATCATAATGCCAGGCCTAACAATCAGTTTTAACACCTCAGTGGCTGTCCACTCTGCCATGGACAATGTTTACAAAAGCTCTGTTCAGCCTTGACATCACATCCCATTATTTGGCAGAAGGGACAATCGGAGAGAATGAGAGTGAACTGAACCAATATCTTTGACAGAGTTTGTGTTTACACTGCTTGCTCTAAACTGTTGTTCAGCCCTATTTGCAACTTTATATATGATTTGATATATAAACTACATTAGCAGTGACTACAAAAGCTATGGCAGAGGCTAAATAGACTCCAAAAAAGCTTTGATTTATTAGCATATTTGTAAAAACTAGGACAATCAGGAACAAGAGACATGTTGAAAAGTATCCTTGTTGAGCCAGGAAATTTATACCCTGCCAAAGCACGTGCAATATTCCTTCAATCTGTTTTTCACTCTTCTTTTACATTCTTTTCTAGGGTTGATAAAAATATAATGCATGCTTTAGTTGGGACACAAAATTTAATTTTGCCAATTAACAACCACTGCAACAAAAATTAAATTTGATACCGCAAATTAAAATGCTACATGAGATGAAAATAAATTTAAAGAAGACAAATGAGCTGTCACAAGAGTACAAGAGACAGTACATGAGCAGGCAACTTCATTTTGAGAAAGCTTAATCTAGTTTGTTTTTAACTGACGGTCATTCTCTGTAAATAAATATTGTTTATTGCAGGGCCTATCAGTTTGTGGCACAACGAAAGACAATACATTTGGCCATTAAATTAATTAGTCCTGCCTGAAGTGTGGCCACACCTCCTCTCACAGGAAATTTACATAGCATTTTATGTGTGGCAAGGCTAAGCAGGCTATGAAGAACAAATGTTGCCTTGACAATAAACAAAATGTCAAAAGTGCAAGGCAAATACAAATTTAATAAAAGTGACAGTAAAATAAAGCACATAATGTGTAATTCATAAAACTCCTTTAAGCCCTTGCTGCAGTTATTGGAGTATCTGACAGACTCTTGCAGTATAACACTATGGATATTGGCAGAATCTGGCACCTGCACTGAAACATTGGAGTACTGATTTACAAGCTCAGGGGTTTACAGAATGTCATCCATCAAAAGGAAAAACAGGAAAGTTTCTAGTTTCGTACAAACACAAGACCAAGACCATCCCTGTACAATATAAGAGAGTTTTATACAGGGTCACCAAGCTTTTTGACATTATTTACTAGATTATTTGCACTTGTGAGTTATGTGTCACATGGTGACAACTTACTACCAGTTCCTTGCTTTAATATTGTCACTGTCACTGTGTTTTGTGTGTGGAATAGAATATGCGGAGCTGAATGCCTTGATTCATTGTCATATGTGTGTACTAAAATGCCATATATTCTTGTTCTGCAGCGACCCTCGTTATAAAACATTGCTCACATGTCATTCACAAAAAGTTGGATAGCCAGTCTGCTTGTGTGACAGTTCACTTGTTTGGTGAATCATTCTAAAATATCAGAATTTAAAATAACTCTTTTCTATTTCAATTATACTTAAAAAAGTAAGTTATCCCTGTGATGGCAAAGCTGAATTTTCAGCAGCCATTACTCCGGACTTCAGTGTCACATGATCCTTCAAAAATCATTTGAATATACTCATCTGATGCTCAAGAGACATTTCTTATATTTATTAATCTTGAAAACAGTTGAGCTGCTTAATATTTTGTGAGATAAATTTCTTCAGGATTATTTGAGGAATAGAAAGTTCAAAAATAGCATTTATTTGAAACAGAAATCTTTTATAACATTATACATATCTTTACTGTTACTTTTTAATAAAAAAGACTTACTGACCCCAAACTTTTGAACATATATATACTACCTTTCATGAAGTCCAGAATTCCAGAAATATCACCATCACTCACCATCACTAGTCTCCCAATGCAGACGGCAATGTCTCACCCAATGTAATTACTGCAACCAGACTTCTGCCTTAACAGTCCTTCTGTACTGCCCAAATTAAATTTGGTGCCACAGGCCTGTGACACTGAAGTCGTTCATTACCGCTATCTCAGTTTTACTTAATGTTCTCATGGTCACCGGGGTGGCCACAACCTTGTTCATGACTGTTACTCCTAGCTCTTTGTTGGGCATGAAACCAGCTCTTTTACATTATTTTAGTGTATCATTAGCACCTTACTGTCCACTCCCCCACTGTGCCTCTTATTCACAAGCTCAAGGAGGAGCAATGAGCATGTCTTGATCCACAGAAGGCAGAAGCACCTCCATCCTTGCATTTATTTGCTGCCCTTTGCCTACTGCAGCATAAAAGCACTTTAAAATCGCTTAGAAGGCTCCCGAGTATCACTGGTTAAGGAGAGGCTATTTCTATTATATATATGACAGAAATGGAATTAGGAAAAGAGGAGGGGATAGCAGGTTGAAAACAGTGAAAACAAAAAACAACAACAACAAACACGTTCATAAAAGCACTGACTGAAATAATTTAAAGTCTCTCACATTCTAAAAAAAATCAGTTCATGGCCACTGCTGCAGTGAAAAAGATTCACCGGCAATGCGCTTCCTGTCTCCTTTATAACAAACAATATTCTGACACCAGCAGGCAGGAGATTTCAAACATTAATGAGATTCTGTGTGAGGAAATAACAAAAAAACTTCAGGTAATTCCAGGTGACAGTTTAGGCAATAAGGGAAGAGTCATCTATCAGGAGATTTACTGCAGGCACAAAGACAGCTACTGGATTTGGGTGACATAAAGATGGAGAGGGACTTTCTAAGAGATCATTCATCCAAGCATACAGCCTGCACAAGTCATATGCACAAAACTTTGTGTGATTCCTTAGCGACAACTGTTGCGTGTCGTTAGGTCTGAGTAAACCCACACGTCTACACACTTTTATCACATTTAATTGTGGGGGGAAACATGCAAAATATCTGAAATATTTAGAAAGCGAACATGCAAGGTGCAGGCTGTAGCGAATCAGCTCAAAGGGGAAATATGAATAATTAATCATAACTAGTTATAATTAATTATAAATATTTAGATCCGCTGTAAGCATTCATTTGACCTCTCAGTGTCAACTGTCTGTTAATTCTAAGAACGTTAATTTCTCCTAGGATCTTTGGTGAATGGAAAGTCA